ATATATATATAGTAAAAACAAAAGAGGACCCAGGACCGACCCTTGTGGAACTCCACAGGACAAAGCAGCCACTCCAGACATGATGTTATTAATAGTCACATTAAAAGTTCGATCACTAAGGTAGGAAGAGAACCACCTCAGGACAGTCCCAGAAAATCCCAACGACTGAAGGCGCTTTATCAGAGTTCCATGGTCCACAGTGTCAAAAGCAGATGTCAAGTCTAATACAATGAGGACAGTATAACGACCAGAGTCTGCGGCCATCCTTATGTCGTTTGAGACTTTAAGTAAGGCAGTCTCAGTAGAGTGCATTTTACGAAACCCTGACTGAAAATCGTCAAACAATTTATTCTGTTCCATATAAGCGATCAGCTGTCCTGCTACCGCTTTTTCCAGGATTTTTGACATGAAAGAGAGCTTTGATATTGGCCTATAGTTTTTTGGCTCAGAATGGTCGAGAGTCGACTTTTTAAGAATAGGGGTAATAAGTGCATGCTTAAAATAGCAAGGGACGGATCCTGTTTCAAGTGAAAGATTTAACAGTTTCATAATCCAGGGCCCAAACAAGTCAGCCTTGCTTAGAACCAAAGAAGTTGGTAAGATGTCAACAGGGCTAGTTGATGGATTAACCCTGCCCATCAGTGTAGTCACATCCTGAAGTGTAACAAGAGTAAAGGATGACCAGAGACCCACACAAGATACTTCCGTGTTAAAACTCACCAGGCTAGGATTAATGCTGGCCCTGATATCTCGTATTTTATCCATGAAGAAGTTCAAAAACACATTACAGTCCTTCTTGGCTTCATGCCCCTCTTTGGTCCTAGTTTGCTCCTTCTTGGCTTCATGCTGTTGGATCTCCTGCAGTGAGGCTGGTGTGAAGCGCCTGAAGACCTCTGTTCCAACAGGGGGCAGCAGAGACACCATCCTGCCATTCTGCAGCTCCGCCCGAACGCTACTGTCGCCTAGCAACCGCTGCCTGTAGGGAGAGCCAGTGAACAGTGGGACAGCTCAGTGGTAGGAATGGAGGCATAAGAATGTTACTGAAAGATTTACATTAACTTGGCTAGATTTGATTTGTTGTGAAGATGCTTCAGCTCTCTTTAAAAGCCCTGCAGTTCTCTCTCCCTCACTCTTCTTTTAAATGCATCACTCTTCTTTTAAATGCATGGGTGATACTGAATTGACTGAATTTAATCAAAATGTTTGACTTAGAGGAGTTTTCTGTCCCAAACAATAAGTACAACATGATCTCCACTGTTCCCTCCTTGACAACACCTGCCCCTGGTGTCATGACATGAAGCGGTGGAAGAAGTACTTCCATCCTTTACTTAAGTAGAAATACCACAGTGTAAAAATTCTCCTTCACAAGTAAAAGTCCTGTATTCAAAAGTTTGACTTAAGTTAAAGTACAAAGTATTAGCATCAAAATATACTTGAAGTTGCAGAAAAGGTCAATACAAATACCTCAGAGCTCTACTTAAGTACAGTACTTTGTTACATTTCACCACTGCACACACGTGGCTACCAGGCAATCCCAGTTATTTCCTCCTCAGTGCCCACAGCCAATAATGGGCTCCCAGGCATTAAACTGCTCCCATGGGGTGTGTAGGGAGGCTCCACTCAGAGTGCTAATGGAGCCTGCAGATGTGTGTGGACTGCCTCCGTTTCCTGTGTGGCTGTGACTCTGCACCACAGCTGAACGCAGCTGGGGTTGGATGTGCACAATATGCATCTTTTATTGTCATGAAAACTGTCCACAGTGAAGGATTGAAACATATACAAGCACATTTTCTTTTGAGTGTTTTCTGAAAATAATGTTAAAATCTGTTTGGATGTTGAGGGAAAAAAAATACTGGACACAGCTTTTCTTATGTGTGACTAATGTTTACTATGAACAAATATTGTGCAGTCATTGTAAAAGGGTGCTCTTTAGCTTAAAGAAGTCAGGGAACTGCTCATTGTAAAAGTTTATTGCTCTTTAGGTTGGGAGGCCAGGAGACATCCTGTTAAGAAAACCCATGGTGACCTGGCCCCGACGCCTGGAGGGGAGTGCTTGGCAGGTGGGTCTAAGATTACAAGTCAGCAATATACTTACAGTGAGCTGCATAAATAAAGCTCAAAGGGTTCACTCCTTTGAGCATTCGCAGTTTGGGTGTGCAGAGGCACTCTCAATGGCTGCTGTATGCTCCTTCTTGCAAGAATATTGAAAGATGTCTTGATAAAAGTGTCAGCATTCCTTCATCTCACCTTGTTACATTTTACTAACGGATGTAAACGTGCATTGTACTGGTTCTTTCTCATAATGTGTAAAGGGAAAAAAAAACTCCACTGAGTCTGGAAATGATCTGACTGATTGCAGCTGTGACTGATCTGCTGTAGAGTCCAGCTGTCAATAAAAATCTCTCAGACCTGATCTATAGCACCTTCGGTACAAACCCAAAGAGCAGGTGAACCCAGGTGAAAGACAATAAGGCAGAAAAAGGTAATTAGTTCAAAATGTATAGCCTAATAAAAATCAATCTATAACATGGAGTTAAACTAAATACAGACTAGATCAAATAAACAGGATACACTGACAAATAAAATTCATCAGAAGGAATAACACAAGCAGCGCGCACACAGCTACAGGTCGGACTGTGTGCGATTAGTCGTTGACCTACTGCTGTGATGGGCGAAGTTTCAGCCGACTGGTTCTCTTCAATAGCGCCCCTCTCTCCTTCTGGCTCCTCCAAAAATCAAAAAAGGACATGTTTCTGGTCAGCGTGGCTGCAGCTCACTCCTGTGCCCGTCTCTCCAGTCCAGTCTTCAGTCCTCTGGTGTTTCTTGCCACACCTCACTGTGTTTTTCTTCAATTCAGCATCCAGAGTGATGCATCTGCAGAGTTGGGTCACTGCAGTCCTCGGGGTCCCATAGTTGTCTCTACGGTTACCAGCTGATTGTGCAATGTGTAACACTGTTCTAACTGCAGCTCTATGTGTCTCTGGTGTGTCTGTGCTTCATTGTGTCCAACTGTTCTCCATCTACATGTCAACATTCAGTGCAACACACATACATACTCTTTCAGACTTCCTGTTAGATTGCATTATCAGGCCATTAGTGCTGTTTCCAGGAAACTGTGAGTTACTGGCACATTAGTGCTGTTTCCAGGAAACTGTGAGAGCATCGCTTACTGGCACAACATCCACACACAGCTTGGATGGAGAAAAGGAAAGAAACAAAGGATTTCATTGTTTGTCGAATGTGAATTCTGAGTTGTTCGTCTCTAGAGTGAAAATCACTGCCAACTTTCACTGCTCCAACAAACGCATATTTATGCAGCTACCTTTGTGAGGACCCTCACTGAAAATGCACCCCTTAGCCTCTAAACCTAACCATCATGACTCAGTGTTCACCCCCAGCCTCATCCCAACCTAAACCTGATTCTAACCTGAACCCAAGCCTGAATCCACAAGTAGCCCTTTAGAAATGTGGACCGGAAATGTCCTCAGTATGTAGAAATTCCTCAGTGGGTACAGAACTCAGACTGGTCCATCCAATAGCTATGGTACACCTGGACAGGTAGCCAGTCAGAGCTGACACAGACAGCCACTCACGCCCACAGGCAGGTCAGTCACCAATTAGCTCTTTGTAACAATTGAGGATTACTGTAAAGACAATGGGTATTCACTGTGTAGCTGCTGTCAAGCTCTCTCGGGGTTAACTAATCTTCCACCCTTCCGCGCTGACCCAGAGAGTCGACAGATGTTGACTGCAGCTGTAGAGCTGCTCACTTCCTATGAGGTCTACTTAATGTAGAGACAAATTTCTTTTATCAGCATTACTTTATTTAGCTAACTCAGCGAACCAGTATTCTTAGCTTGTTTCTTATTCTATGTAGCTTTTGTACAGCGGTAGAGTTGGGTGACAACACTCGTGATGCACTAAGAAATGTCTTAAAGGTCAGGCTCCTACAATAGTAAACAGGATCTTAAAGCTTCACACTCTGGGTGGAACATTCGGTTTAACCCCCTATAGGGTTATTACATCTCACCACACGAGCTCCGTCTCCACACCCCGCTTGCTGCGACTAAAGATAGTGGGTATCTTTCACTGTGTACTCTGGTGGGGACCAGTCCACTGAATTAGTGCATGCTTAATAAAACCATTTTATTATATTTGCTACTACACTTTGCTATAGTAGTTTGATTTAAATTATTGTTGTCAGTAGATGAACTATCACTACTTGAGATGACAGTGGACTTTAAAGTGCTCAGAAAAGTGGACATTAAAACAAACGTCTACAATTCACCTCATTTAACACCTTTGTTCAGAAAGTGAAGCTTCAGTGAAACGAGTTCCTTTCTCGATGTGGTGAAGCTGCAAAGTAACACACCTGACAAAATGCAAGAACTTTATTTTCATCACAATTTACAGAAAAACACGCCGAGTACAAAAAAGATTATTACAATATTCTTATTAAAAAAACAAACAAAAATGCATTCAAGCAGTGTGAACAGCGCCTGCGTTACATCCGTCACCAGCAGCTCATCAAGTATGTACAGGTTTACAGCCAACCCAATGCTAAACATTGAGACAAACGCTCAAACCATAGAAAAATAAGACCGTTTCATTGCCTGAGGTTGTTATTGAGCGAGGAGTCTCTGTGTGGTCCGAGCCACAAGTTTGTGGTAATCTTCCAGTTTGTCTCGAACTTTCTTGTAAGTCTGAAAACAGAAACATGTTTGTATTACTACCGAAGGTACTGGCATCTGATACCAAACTACTGATACCAAATCTGATGATTCTCTAGCAAATTGTGAAGACTTCCAGTCCCTGCACCATTAGCTGGACTTGATCTCAACATTACCACATAGGTTCCTCTGGTTATGTATTTTTTCAATGTAACAAGCTTCTCTGCTAGATAAAGATGAGCTTGTTGCTTGTTGTTGACGTTACTACAAAAGAAAAGAGGCGTCGTTTGTATTTTAGCAATGTTTTGCTACTGATCCGGAAACTTGGAATCTGTGAATATCTTTCCAACTTTACCGAAGTCAGCCACTGTAACACACTGTTGTCAGCGCACTGACCGACAGCTGTCACCTCCGTGTCTGGGAGCAAATATGACATCTGCATGTAAGGTGAGCTTTAGGCCACCTCCTCCCTTTCAGTGGGTCAAGCACATCATAATGATGTAATACGATTTCACTCCAAAGATGACGCAGGCGGGTTTGCTGAAATACTGGTAGGGACATATCCCTTCCGTCCATATGCACAACTATACACCTGTCCTGATCACAAGGTTTGATAGCATAGAGAAAAAAAGTGCTGGTGATGTATGTGTGGTTCAGACACATGTATATAAAAAGTGTAAACAGGAGGTGAACTCACGCTGCTGTTGGTCTGAGTCTCGTTGAGCGCCTGCAGCAGCTGATCAATAGACGTGTAAGGCAGCCAGGCAGTAGACGACGTCGCAGACAGAGGCCTCTGAATCACAACACAACACACAGAACAACACAGAGACGTGACGTGATGTGGATGCTGAACTCATCGCAGCAAACAGATACAAATGTACTCTGAGGATCAAGTTTAGATTATTACACAACAAATGTTCATGTAAACAAAGAAATCAAAGCCACCTGAGGCCAGCAGTGCACCCTGGGAACTTCTAGGGCCTGAACCCACAATTTGACATTTGAACATTTTAACAGTGAATAAAAACCAAAATCTTTCATGTACGACTGGGCCACATGTCTTCACGTCTGTTCTAACTGCCACTGTGTCAGTGCTGGGGGATGTGGTACCTGAAGTATTTCTTTGTATTATTACCTCTATTCCAAAGTACTGGTGTCCTTTCCCCAGCAGAGCGTCCACGTACTCCAACACCAGCTCAGCCGCAGCGTCGAGCAGGTCGAAGTTCAGGTAGAGACGCAGCAGGGACGCCGCGTCCACCGCCTGAAATGCACGTGACACACAACTTCAAACACACACCACAGATGTATTTCCACTCAGTTTCAGATCTTAGAGGAACAGTTCGTCAACAAACCTGAAGCTACATAATCAATTCCCTGTCATTTATCAATAAATCTGCTCTAATCCCATTTCCTGTCACAGTAAAATCTGAATCTTTGAAGACATCAACAAAGACTCACACTTGCATTTCAGCGACTAAATAATCATGAAAATGTTTGACAGATCAGCTGATAATGGAAAAATGGAGGAAAACAACAAAGAAGCAGAAAGTGGACGATGCCGCGTCCGATCACAATTTCAGATCCTGATCATACGAGTTCTGTCTTCACACAGTAACGCTGACACATGTAAACCTGAGTGTTTTCTGCCAACCAAGACATTCATTATCTACTAATGAAGATTTATTAACAATCAATCTGAAGATTATTTTCAAAATGTCAGGAACAGTGACAGTGATAATACAACCTAACCTGGACCACTCAGGGAAACTGTGCCTGTGCCTCATTGGCTGACTGCTCACCTTGTAAGAATTGACCAGCCAATCAGGCAGAGGGACACCATGCGACATCAGCTTGTTGATGACACAGCGGTGGTGCTGTCCGTTAGGGGAGGGATACCTGTCCAGGTAGGATGCCAGCAGCCGCCAGGCCTCGTCTGTGGCACTGAGGACAGAGGAGGAGAAGAAAGACGGTTAGGAGTCAGACAAAAAAAAAGCAGAGATGGAGAGAAGAAGAAGAAATAGAAAAAAGAGAAGCCAAAAGGAAGAAAGAGAAGAAGAAAGAAGAGAAGCAGGAAAATCGTTCTGTGGAGTCTGTCGTCTCACATTCATGACTTGTTTTTAATATAAATAATCTCATGGTGCTCAAGTGTCTCTCTCCTGTAATAAAGATTTCATCACGTCTTCAACGTCTCATCTCTGCAAAACCAGCTGTTGAATTGAACTAAGAGTTACTTTAAAACACTGTTCCCAACACAAAGCCACAGCATCTTGTCTAAACTTTGACTATTTGGTCTGTTTAATGTGAAAACCTGAGCGAAAGCTTGAATCCAAGATGTGAACGTCATCATCTGTTTCAGTCACTGAGAGAGAAAACATCTGGTTTATACAGTCACATACTGAAAACATGATCATATTGAAGAGCAGTGCCACACCAAATCACTTTGCCATGGCCGTGAGAAAACGCTTCAGCAAACGATGAGAACTCAGTGTGAAAGAAAATGAATTAGGAAGTATGAGAGTAAACTCAGTGACAAACAGCAGAGGAACAGACGGCCTGGGTGAAGGTTGGGTACAGAAGCTCACCTGGACTCTTTGGTGTTGACGACAGATGACAGCTGATTAGCAGCCAACCAGCTCCAGGCTTCGTTCTGAGTCTCCTCCCCCCCGAACTGAAGCTTGATGCATCTGAACACAAGCAAAGACAAACAGTCACAGTAAACATGAATGTCTCCTTCGCCAGTCGGCTGACGAACAAAGTCACTTCACATGTTTTCAAGCAGGACGTTTATTATCCTCACAAACAGTTCAAGGCCTGAGGGCAGGCAGGAAATGTCTCACCTCACTACATATTCAGTTATAAGTCACTCCCTAGTTAATTATAACTACGGTTAGAGTTGGGGTTTGCTAAATGTTAGGGACGCACTGATGCCGATACCAGTATCGGGCTCAATACCACTCCCTAGTGCTCTATACTTACTCGCTGTGTATGAAAACGGGTTGAATCCTTGTGAACGTGGCGGCTGAGACCAGCGGCAGAGACAACAGGACGGAGCCACAGGCAGCAGCTGGCTTAATATAAGAGCTGCAGCCTTGTTAAACATTTAAATCTCTAGCTGTGATAATATGTGCTCCTAAACTGTGACAACCTGGCCTGTGAAATGATTACATCCTAATACAGGGTCGCTCCTACAGAGGCTAAACTCCACTGTACTACAGTGTGTTGTGTAGCAGGCTATAGCCAGCCAGGTACACGTTACTCGGTAGGAAGAGTGGCAGGGCTGTGTTTGTTACCACAGGTAGATTTCAAGTAGACTGCACAGCCTCCTGGTACA